AATAATAATCCCTAAAAAAAAATACTAATTTGGTCACTCAATCCACCACTATTTGTGGGACTCCACTGTGCTCAATTGGCACAATCACACTCACCTCAGCTCACATTAGGTTCACACTCACCTCAGCTCACACTCACCTCAGCTCACAGTAAGTTCAGACTCACCCCTGCTCACACTTACCTCAGCTCACACTTACCCTAAGATCTCGCTTCAGTCTCTCCACATTCTTGATGTTCACCAGGTCGTCTTGGCCGATCAGCAAAACCTGCCAACAAGGAGCAGTGGGTCAATGTCAACGTCGACCACAAAATACCTCCCATTACTGAGATTCATCTCAAGTTGAGAAGGGGAGACTTACTGCTCTTGTTCAGCGATGGGACTTTACTTGACAACATCCACGATCAATGGTAAAACATGCACAAGTCTGATCTGTATAATTCGTACAATCGCCTCAGTCTGGAACGCACGGCCTGAAAGGCTGGTGGAAACAGATTCGATAATAACTTTCAAAAGGAATTGGATTGGTACTTGAAAAGGAAAAATTTGCGAGGATATGGGGAAAGAGCAGGGGAGTGGGACTGAATGGGTAGCTCTTCCAACTAGCACATAAGATTGTAAGTCGTACATTGTAGCCCAAGTCCTGTTCGAGAGTTGATATTCATGCAAGTTTTGATGAAATAATAATAATAATAATCCTTCCATTTGATATAGCGCTTTTCACGTCGGGAGGACGTCCCAAAGCGCTTCACAGAACACACTGTAAAGTGAATTGACTGTAATATGCAAAGTATGTAACTCATACTTTGCATATTACAGTAAATGTGTGGTCCCAATGATAAGGACTCGTGAGGTTTTCTGTAGTGCCTGCTAACGGACACACTCACCATGGAACTGAAGACATTATGCAGCAGGCGACTCAGGTAAAGATCGCTTGCGTCTACCTGGGAGGTCATAACGATCAGAGTGATGCTGGAGAAGTGGGAGAACAAGGTGTTAGCACAGCTCCTTCAACTGTCTACTGTCCGGCCTGACAACAATTCAACAACAACTTGCGTTTATAGAGCGCCCTTCGCATGGGATAGCGTCCCGGAGCGCTTGACGGTGGTGGAATCTGACCCTGAGCCAAGGGGAAGAGGCAAGTGGGGGGAGGTGACTGTAAGCATGATCGAAAAGGAAAGTCTTTAGGTAGGATTTTAAAGTAGGGTTGGGAGAGGGCAAGGCGGAGGGATTGATGGAGAGAGTTTTGGGGTTTAGTGAAAGGCGATCTAGAAATGTAATTTGTATGTTGTTGGTGTTCCTGGTTGGAATCGTGAGGGGTCGTTTCTGACAGTCCCAGAGAGGGGAAGGGGATGCGTGGAGTCCTGTAGCTCAGTGGTTAGAGCACTCGCCTTGTAAGCGAGACACCTGGGTTCAATTCCAGGCAGGGCGAAACGTTGGGAAAGTTTCTTTATCAAATGCAAGGATAATTATTATTATTATTTAATATAGCTCCTTACCACGTCATTGAGACATCTCAAAGCGCTTCACAGGATATGCTGCAAAGTGAATTGGCTTGTATATTTTGAGGGCGTAAAGTGGCAGCCAATTGCGCGCAGTAGCGTCACCACAAACAATCGTGGATTGAGTGAGCGATTTTTTTTTAGGGATTATTACACCAGGAAAGCGATCCACTAAATGACTAACAACCGTGTTCCTACTTACTGCTAGTGAGGAGGGACTCAGTGATAAAATAACTTGCTCTGCCACTGCTGCTCAGCCTCACCTGTCGTGAAATACTCTCCAGAAAACCCGGGCGTTCTCGGTACAAGTGCTGGTCAGCAATACGTCCTGATTACTGCCAAACATGTGCACCCCATTCAGTGACCCGATCACAGAAAAGGGAAGCTGGAGAGGAGAGGACAGAGATTATAACAGGAACGAGGTTCAGTTACTGACTGCAGACCCAACTGTGAAGGCAAGACACACAGAACATAAAGCTGCTCGGTGCCAAGATGAGCTATCGAATGATAACTAGGATTATTATAGCAAGGACTCCTGTAGCTCAGTGGTTAGAGTGCTCGCCTTGCGAGGACTTGATATTCCCGGTTGGTGAAATGTTGGACAAGTTTCCTTACTCCACCCACACGCCTGTTACCAGCGTTAAGTAGGAACCCACAGTTGTGGATTGAGTGACCACAAAACACACAATCACTACACTTTATAGGATATCTGTGAAGCACTTTGAGACGTCCCAATGAAACTGGTTGTTGGGGTCAGGAGCGGCGGAGATTGGGAGATGGGGGTGGGAGTTGGCCGAAGAGGACTTGAAGGAGGCAAGAGAGGCAGAGAGATTGTGGGATAGAGTTCTAGAGTGTCTGGGCAGAGATGCTGAATGCCTAACCGCCAATGGTGGGGCAGGAAGGGCAGGGGAGCTGAAGAAGGCTGTTGTCTGCCGAACAGAGGGAGCGGACAGGCTGATCTGGGGTTAGGAGGTCAGAGAGGTAGGGGGAACAAGACCGTGGAAGAGTTTGAAGGTGACTATACTACACAAGGGACCTTTATTGTTCACCTAGATGGGCAGACGGGACTTTGGTTTAATGTCTCAACCGAAGGATGACACCTCCAACAAGGCAGCACACCCCCAGCACTGCATCCTAGGGCCACCTTAGACCCTGTGAGTTCCAAATCCCCGACATGGAATGGGGTGAGGTAGGGAGCCTTGACTTAAATTTCAATTGGCTGCCGCATTTTAGCCCACAAAATACAGTCAATCCACTTTACCATAAATTCTATGAAGTGCTTCGAAGCGTCTCATCAACGATAAGGCACTATATCAAATGCAAGGATTATTAGTATTATCCTCCCGACTCGAGAGGCAAGAGCACGACCGACAGATTCAGGCTGACCTGCCTTTGCCGGTGAAGTGCTTTGGGAACTATAATAGTAATCCTTGCATTTGATAAGAGTCTTATCCCATCATTAAGTCCTGTAGCTCAGTGGTTAGAGCACTCGCTTTGCAAGTGAGACACCTGGGTTCAATTCCCGGCAGAGGGTGAAACCTTGGGCAAGTTTCCTTACTCCACACAGAGCTTAATAATAATCCCTCCAAAACCAAAAACAATAATAAATTGGTCATTTTCAATCTACGACTGTTTGTGGGACATTGCTGTGCGCAATTGGCTGCCGCGTTCGCCCACAAATATACAGTCAATTCACTTTACAGTATATTCTGTGAAGCGCTTTGGGATGTCCTCCCGACGTGAAAAGTGCTCTATCAAATGCAAGGATTATTATTACTATTACTATTACTATTGAGAAGTCTCAAAGATTATACCGTAAAGTGAATTGACCTGTGTATTTTGTGAGTGAAACACGGCAGCCAATTGCGCACAGCAGGGTCCCACGAACAGTCGTGGATCGAGCGGACCAAATTATTATTATGATTTGTATTTTATTTATTTTTTGGAAGGGTTTTATTACCTCCTGGAAAGTGATCCGTCAATCGACTAACAACCGGGTTCCTACTTACTGCTGAGTAAACAGAGGCGCGTGTGTGTGTGCGGAGTAAGGAAACTTGCCTAAGATGTTGTCCTGCCTGGGAATCGAATCCGGGTTCTCTCACTTCCGAGGCGAGCGCTCTAAACCCTGCGCTAGTGAACAATAATAACCCTCGCAATTGATACAGCCGCTCATCACATCTCCGAGACGTCTCAAAGCGCTTCACAGGATACAGTGTAAAGTGGAATTGACTGTGTATTTTGTGAGTGAAACACAAAACAACCAGAGGGGGGGGGGGGGGGGGGATATTCTTACACTTACAACACCCACATCCCCCTTCTCCCCCCCCCAATAAATGTAGATTTAATTATTTATATTCTAGATAATAAATATAAATAATAATGCTATTTTAAAAATGTTATGGGGAGGTAGGGGTGGGGTTGGGGGGTGGGGTAGGGTTTGTGGACAATAACTAGGTGAGGAGCAGCCATTATAGTGTGTAGTTTGGGGATTATTTGTATTTATTCGGGATAATAAATAGAAATAATATATTTTTTTAAATAAGTATGTTATGGGGGTGGAGGGGGGTGGGGGAGGGAGAGGGTATGTGGCCAACAACTAAGTGAGGAGCAGCCGTTGTAGTGCGTAGTTTGGGGATTATTAGTATTTATTTTAGATAATAGACACAAATATTTTTAATATAAAAAAGTATGTGGGGGAGGGGGCAATAACTAGGTGAGGAGCAGCCATTATAGTGTGTAGTTTGAGGGAGGGGGAGGAGGGTGGGGGGGTTGGTGGGGTTACCTGTCTGCAGCGCCCCTTGCTCCTGCAGTACAGGGGGACCCCACTGCTGGAGGCCAGACACAGCAGCTGCACGTCGGCCGCCATCTTCGGCCTTCTTTGTCCCGAGGCACGCCGGGAAATCGGGGGCGGGCGTTGAGCATGCCGGGAAATCAGGGGGGCGGGGTTTGAGCACCGACCAATCACAGCTCGGCGTCTCCTCTCCGCCTGCTCCCGCCCCTCCCCTGAGCCCCGCCCCCTCACTCTTGGCCCCGCCCACGCGTCGCCTGGCAACGACCGCGCCTGCGCAGTGCCGCGGGATGGTCAACCTCCAACCGCTTTGGAGGCAACTTTGGTCAACCCAATGGGATTCCATCCCAATGGGACTTCAACGCCCCCCCCTCATGGCCTCCCCCCACCAACTCCCCGCCCCCACCCCACGGCTACCTCTGCGACCTCCGAACCCAACCTCAACCCCCCACCACCCCCATCACCCCCCCCCCACCCACCAACCTACAGGGAGGCTTCATCCCACCCCCCCCCCACCGTTCCTCCCTCCGCTCAGCGGGCTCGGTCCTCCTTCACGTTCCCCCAAACCCCCACGCCATCCCGTCTCGCCCCCCCCACCCCCACCCAAACCCCCCCACCACACCCCCACCATTGGCGGGCGAACCTTCTGCCCCCACCACCACCACCAACCCTCCAACTCCCTCCGCCTCACCCCCCCACCCCTTCCTTCCTTCTGTTGCCTCCTCCAAGACCCATCTCATATAGATCCTCCTATTCGACCACTTTTTCGATCGTCCTCCATCACTCCCCACCCCACCCCCCACAACCGTCCATGCCCTCTGCCTCCCACACCCACCAGGATCCCGCCCCCCCCCCCAACCCAGCTTGGGTCCAAAAGACTGACTGTCCAGCGCCTTGGGTAATTTTGATGTTGTTGTTGCTGATTGCTTTATGATAATAAAAAAAATCCTTGGGTTTGATACAGCGCCTCATCACGTCGTCAACAACAACAACAACAAGATTCCATTTATAGAGCGCCTGTCACGTCGGGAGGACGTCCCAAGACGCTGAGTCAAGCCGTCTCAAAGCCCTTCACAGGATACACTGTGAAGTCTTGTGACTGTGTTGTATAGTTGGGGCGAAACGCAGCAGCCAATTGCACTCAGCAAAGTCCCACTAACAGCCGTGGATCGAGTGACCAAATTATTATTACTTTTTTTTTGAAGGGATTATTACCCCCCGGGAAGCGATCTGCCAATCGACTAATAGCCGGGTTCCTACTTTGAGACGTCTCAAAGATGTGATAAAGCGCTATATCAAATGCAAGGATTATTATTATTATTATTTACTGTCCTTATGCATGTGTCTCTGCTCCGACCACAGTTTCCAGCAGTAAGTTCCACAGTCTCACCACATTCTATGTGATTATGTTTCCTCCAAATTGTCTGTTAGAACTACAACAGGACTTACTTACTTACTTCAGTTACTTACTTGCTTGCTTATTTCCTTCCTTCCTTCCTTCCTTACTTCCTTCCTTACTTCCTTACTTATTTACTTACTTACTTAGGACTGTTTGTGGGACATTGCTGTGTGCAATTGGCTGCCGCGTTCGCCCACAAATATATAGTCAATTCACTTTACAGTGTGTTCTGTGAAGCACTTTGGGACGTCCTCCCGACGTGAAAAGCGCTATATCAAATGCCAGGATTATTATTATTATTATTATTATTTACAATACATCATACATCCGGCTTATCCTGCAATATATTGAAGCGGTTTGAGACGACTCAACTACTTGATAATGCACACTGTCAAATGCAAGAATTATTATTATCATCTTATATTTATGTCCTGTGGCTATGGGACTCCGCAACAAGTGGAAATAGCATTGTCAGCATTCACATCATCAAATCCCTTCGCAATCCTAAACCCCCTCTATCAGGTCCTCTCTCTCAGTTGTCTCAACTGCAGAGAGTTTATACCCCGCTCAGAGTTAGACGTGGTAAGGCGCTATATCAAATGCAAGGATTATTATTATTATTATTATTATTATTGTAAGTGAATGATTAGAGTAGGGTCAGTCCACCAGTTCGCCACAGGGTGGGGCTATTGTGCTTCATCTCCTTCACTTGTTTGACGTGACCTTCGACGGTTCCATGGACCCTTAGGTTGGGTTATTTGGGGTCAGTCGGGTGTCTGAGACGAGCGTAATACCCATCGCCGTTGTTTAAGAGCCTCCGAACGCACCTGAGAATTCCAGGCCTCCCATGGAAATCCCAGAGATAGGTTGTTGGAATGGAATGGGCTCTCTCTCTCTCTCTCTCTCAATCCCTGGAGGAACGCACCCTGCTCACCTACTTCCGGAGAGTGTTAGGCGCGGAGCCAAGGCTTGTGTGGGGGGGGGGTAGCCCAGAGTGTGCGTTGGGGTAACTGCTGAGCCTAACCGGCTAAAGCCACGTAACTTGCCGTTGAGAGAGAGCACCGTCTGGCCAAGCTTTCCCGCTGCTTGTCCAGCTAGGACCACCCTCACGGCTTTGGCTGCAGGGTTCACGGGAGCTGAGGGGGGAGGATTCCCTGCCCTCAGCCCCTTCCAGGTCCTGCCGATGGGAGCCGGGCTGCTAAGTCAGTCTCGCTCATCACAGGCAGCAATCGTAATGCTGCCAGTGTGCCCACTGAGCGTGAGTATTTGTGTCCCATCAAGCGCTGAGTGTGCCCCTTGTGAGAGTGCACGAAGCAGCGAGTGTGCAAAGTGACCAATGATGGTGCGAAGCTAGAAGCGAGTGTGGGAAGTGAGCAATGAGGGTGTCCTGTGAGATCTGTCTAGATCGTCTCCCGAGCAGGAGATACCAATCGCTTTTTTGCTTTACGTTTACTTTTCACATTTTTGAGATAAAAAGAAACAAGAATTTTACGAAACCTGTTTTCATTGAATTTTCTTTCTGGTGAACTTTACTTGTTCGTTACCCGGAAGCTTTACTCCCTGATCTGGGAGTGTGGACGGATGCACAGCGTAGAGGGAGCTTTACTGTGTATAAGTCCTGTGGAGTCCTGTAGCTCAGTGGTTGGAGCACTCGCTTTGCAAGTGAGAGACCTGAGTTCAATCCAGGCAGAGGGCAAACCTCGGGCAAGTTTCCTTACTCCACACAGAGCCTAATAATAATCCCTCCAAAACCAAAAACAATAATAAATTGGTCATTTTCAATCCGTGACTGTTTGTGGGACATTGCTGTGCGCAATTGGCTGCCGCGTTCGCCCACAAATATACAGTCAATTCACTTTACAGTGTGTTCTGAGAAGCGCTTTGGGGCGTCGAGAAGACGTGAAAAGCGCTATATCAAATGCAAGAATTATTATTATTATAAACATCAAGTGCCCGTTTACGGCGACAGTGACTGTGTGTGTGTGACCTATTGCCCAATTTGCTCGGAGTGTGTTTCAAGAGGCTGGAGGGGAAGTGAGAGGGGGAGTGAGAGGGTGAGTGGGGTGGGGTGCGGGGCGGAGGGGAAACTCAGGGTGTTGCTGTGGTCTGTAGAACCGGTACTGACTGTTCCTCTCTGTGTCTCTGCCTGGCGTTTGAGGCGCTCTCCAGCCTCGCCTCATCCATTATTCAAGCTGCTACAGAAATGCGACAGATGCACTGGGATGGATGTGGGATCTGCTGCGGGACTGCATTGGAGCCTGAGCGACGCGGCTGACCCGAAAGCCTCAATTAGATTCCGGTTTGTTAACTCACTCAGTTAGTTCTCGCTTCACCATTACTCATATGACGGGTCTAAAGCTGTTGTGTGGCTTCTCTGAATGAACCGTGTGTGGCTGATTCTGTTGGGCTTTCGCTTCTAGGACAAGAGGTTGGGCCAAGTTCTGAGTGTCTAACCCCAGACTAAGTGCATCTTAAACCCACATCCCTTTACCTCTGACCCATCATATCTACACAGCGCCTTTCAAGTCTGGAAAATGTCCCCCAAAAGGCCGGACCATCAAGGATTCGAGCCGGGGGTTGGGTTCAGGAGGTGGTGGAAGGGCGGGGAGGGTGGGGTGGGAGGGTGACCGGAGGCACGGTCCAGGAGGAAGGTTTGAGGCAAGACCCGTGCAGCGTTAGTGGGGTAAGCGACCTGTGTTCGACACTGCGCACAAATTGGACTCGACCACCACTGTTTGTGGGGACGCTGCTGTGCGCGATCGGCTGCCGCGTTTCGCCCACAAAACACACGGTCACTCCGCTTCACATTGTATCACACGAAGCGCTTTCTGATTTCTCCTCTCTCTCTCTCTCTCTCTCTCTCTCTCTCTCCCTGAAACTCACTCCCGCCTCAGGCTCCATCAGCCGCGGGCAGGATGTCAACAGGGCAGATTGGCTGTGGCCCCGTGCCCAAAAGACCAGTCACTACACGTCAAAGCGCTCGTGTGTGAGCGGGAAGGACTTTGGGACGTTCCAAAGTCATTAGCCGCTGTATCAAACTCAAGGATTTTATTTATTTATAACCTTTTTGGCAAACACATGATGCCAGATGCAGCATTTATATGATATTCCCATCTCTGGGTCACTGTTCCTTCAGCCTGGCTGTGATCGCGGTCTCACTCGGGGCCTAACACCCTCCCTCCTCAGGCCCTGGACGCTCACACTCACGCAGCCGGCAACCGTGCAGTCCCCACGCGCGCAGCGACACGCAGCGGCTCACACCAGCGCAGCTGACGCGGGCAAAGTGCGCCCGTGCAGCCTCCCGCGCGCGCGTGAAACCCGATCTATCTCTACGTGCACGTCGCACGCACGCAACACGCACCCGTGCAGCCCACAGCCGTGCAGCTCGCGACCACCTATGAAACACCAGCATCGGCGACCAAGGTTATTGACAGTCCCGTCGCCCCATTGCCCCCCTCCATTGCTCCACACACACCCCCCCACCCTTTACCGTAGCCAGGCAAAGGCACCGTAAATATACGGCAGCGTCAAGCCTCTCTCGTCTGGCGAAGTAACGTGCAGAATACAGACAGCGCAGGGCAGACACCTTTGCAAAAAAAAAAGCAGTCGTGCAATTTAGATTGTGCAAACAGGTCTGTCATTCCTGTACCTGTGCCAAGACTGCGTGAGAGAAGGGGGGAGAGAGGGAGAGAGAGGGATCTG